TGAGGTGAGTGGTCTTTACCATGCACAGTCAGTAAACTGTGGGATATGGAATACCACTTTAGAAAGGGAGAGGCAGCAGGATATTGCTCTATTATAATCCTTCTACAGAATTTTATTTTCTAGTCATATGTGTATCTGTTACGTTGATATTTTTTAAAGAAAATTTTAAAATCTATACTCAGAAATAAGGAAAGTAAATGAACACCTGGACATTTATAGTTGGTTTGTTATGATGGTAGGATTATGTGTGACTTTCTCTTTACATTTGCTTCAGTAATGTTCTGATGGTAAATTTGATACATCAAGCATGACTCAAAATAGTTTTAAGGCAATCAGGCTATGACCAAGAAGCTATTTGAGGAAATAAAAAAAGAAATGACCTATAAATTCTCTTTGTAAACAAAACTGGAAGAGACAATTAAGACATACAGACACAACAACTAATGGTGCAAACACTTTCATTTAGCCTTTCCCAGAAGTGAGATTCACAGTATTAAGTTAAATATATCCTGTTTAGTTTTTCACTTGCAGGATCTTAGTTCCCCCAATCAGGGATCAAACCCAAGTCCTTGGCAGTGAAAGCACGGGATCCTAACCACTGGATTCCCAGGGAATTTCTGTCGCTTATTCTTTTCAACTAAACTTCTCATTTTGAGTTGTCTGTTCTTTGTGTATTTGTCTAACAGTGTTCCTACAGACCCACATATATAAATAACTATATGCTGATAATCCACTATAGTCATAGTGATATTTTTCCTTTTCTGTTTACCTTTTTTATATAAGCAACTAATTCTGTTGTGACCAAATCTATTGTTTCCTTCATGATTTCTGTCCTGAGAGCTTAATGTCAACTCTCATTCCCAAGTCAAAGGTTTAATATTTAACTCTATTTTTTTGTAGTTGTAATTTTTACATGTCACACAGGGTTGATTTTTAATATGGCATGGGGGTAGGTATCTAGTTATCCCAGAAGAATCTGTTGAATGTTCCATTCCTCTTTTAAATTGTGATGCCTCATTTACTAACCAAAATTCCTATAACAAGACATACATGTTCAGGAAATGCTGCTTTGGATATTTGAAGTGAATAACAACATACACTTGAAACTGATTATTTTTGTCCCCCCCTGTTTATGTCTCGCTTGCTTTATGTTAATACTTTGGTTCATTTATTTAATGATTTAGTAAGAACTTCTTACAATCTAGACACAGTAAGTTTTTGTTTGCCCTTCTTCCCTCTTTCTTAAAATTATTACTCTTTATTTTAATTGGAGACTAATTACTTTACAACACTGTGGTGGCTTTTGCCATACATTCACATGAATCAGCCATGCATGTACATGTGCTCCCCATCCTGGCCCTCCCTCCCACCTCCCTCCCTGTCCCATCCCTCAGGGTCATCCCAGTGCACCAGCCCTGAGCGCCCTGTCTCATGCATCAAACCTGGACTGGCGATCTATTTCACATATGATAATATACACATTTCAATACTACTCTTTCAAATCATCCCATGCCTGCCTTCTCCCACAGAGTCCAAAAGTCTGTTCTTTACATCTGTGTCTCTTTTCCTGTCTCGCATATAGGGTCATCATTACCATCTTTCTAAATTCCATATATATGTGTCAATATACTGTATTGGTGTTTTTCTTTCTGACTTACTTAACTCTGTATAATAGGCTCCAGTTTCATCTACCTCATTAGAACTGATTCAAATGCATTCCTTTTAATAGCTGAGTAACATTCCATTGTGTGTATGTACCACTGCTTTCTTATCCACTTGTCTGCCGATGTACATCTAGGTTGCTTCCGTGTCCTGGCTATTGTAAACAGTGCTGCGATGAACATTGGGGTACACGGAGACACAGTAAAATTTAAGATACGTAATGGGAAGTGAAAAAAAGTTTTCACCCTCAATATTAAAATGTCAAAAAATTAATTATGGCAAGAGTGAACAATACTGTGTTTATATAGTTTGAGCTCAAAGAATGATTTTCATTACTGCATCCGTGTATTAATGTATATTATACATATTCAATTTATATAAGAATTTTCACTTCATTGGCTTCACAAGACTCAAAATTTCAAAATACAAGAGTTGAGAACTATAATCTGTAACAAGAAAAATTAAAGGTGCTGTTGGAAAACTTAGGGGGGAAAGAGTTTCATCCTTTATTTTTTTAATTTATTTTTATTAGTTGGAGGCTAATTACTTTACAATATTGTACTGGTTTTTGTCATACACTGACATGGATCAGGGAGAAGGCGAGGGTGGGATGTTTCCAGAGAACAGCATCACCCTTTATTTTTAAGGAGAAGTCTGTATATTATAAATACAAACAGTTGTATCATCGAGTACAGAGTTCACGTTGCAAACATTCAACCATGTTCATCACACATCTGATGATATAAAATCAAAACTGCTTTTAAAGGCTTGTCTTTCACTGTTTCTATCATGAAAATCATGTCATTACTTTTCAGTGACACACTATTGTTTAAAGGCTCCTTTTAAGCAAAAATAGAACCCAATAATTTTTAACCAAAAGTGTATCCTATAATCCTGTTTGCTCTAGCATCAATAAACACTATACTAAGACATGGCATTTAGACATGAACTATGTCTAAAACCCTTGAAGAATACAATAGAAATAGGCAAGATATTTAGAATGTTTTAATCTTTCTGGTTAACACCATTTGTATTAGTAATTGCACCGTTGTAACTTTTAGCATGTCACATAACTAGTCAGTAAGGATTTTCTTTTAAGGGTGGGAGTACGAACAGAAGGATAGGAGATGCAAGGTTTCATACTTCTGTTTTCAAAAATCAAAAATCAAAACTACTTTCTTCTCTGCATCAAAACTGTACCACAAACTTGCAGGTTATTTTCGTTTTAATCCCATGACTCATCATCTACTGGATTAGGAGCTTGTGATGAAGAAAACCCTGCTGTGTTCAAAGAGCTCCTGCCGTGGTAATTTTTGAAAAAGAAACAAACAAACATTTAATTTTATGTAGCATTTAAGTTACACTACCTAGACTGATAGCAAGGACTCAAGCTTTCTACCATTTCTTCCCCAAGCAAAAAATTTCATTCTCACTGAATCCAATCTATTTGAAAAAAAGTCCATATCAAGCTAGGAAGTTTAAATTGCAGAGTATTTCAAGAAAAAATGTAAACCAATAGTTTTGGCAAATGGAAAAACAAAGCTCTTCACTTTAATGAATAAGCATAAATACTTAATGACTAGTATGCCCATTGTTTCTGTATAAAAATTATGTTGCCTAGACTGACACAATAGAAAAAATATGTAACCACACTGCTATGATCTCATCTTACTTAACAATGTGGTCACAATTCAAAAAATAAAGAATTACTACGAAAATCTCAGAAGATCCTAAATTAGAATTTATAATGGGAAAGGAAAGTGTTTGAGCATAATTAAATTAAATTTCTCCCCTTTAGACCAAAACTATATATGTACATAAAATTTTTAGAGAAATATTAATCTTCTAAGCATGAAAATAATGGCTTAATTTATTGTTATAGTTACTTCACAATATTAAGCACAACATTTACAAAGAATAAATAACAAAAAGCCAATTTCTAAATTTTCCCCCTCAACTAACCTTTCTGGTATCAACTGATGCAAACACATTTCCTCTTGTCGTACCACTGAAGCCAGGACCATGTGTACTAAAGGCAATTTCTTCTAACCAGGCAGGAACATCCTGTTGAGCCTTAAAAAAAAATTAACTTCATAAACAACATGCATAAATCTCAAAAGATTCACATGTTTACTTTTCCTTCAAAAAAGCAAGAGAGTTCTAGAAAAACATCTTCTTTTGTTTTATTGACTACACCAAAGCCTTTGACTGTGTGGATCACAACAAACTGTGGAAAATTCTGAAAGAGTTGGGAATACCAGACCACCTGACCTGCCTCCTGAGAAATCTGTATGCAGGTCAAGAAGCAACAGTTAGAACTGGACATGGAACAACAGACTGGTTCCAAATAGGAAAAGGAGTACATCAAGGCTGTATATCATCACCCTGCTTATTTAACTTATATGCAGAGTACATCATGAGAAACACTGGGCTGGATGAAGCACAAGGTAGAATCAAGACTGCCCAGACAAATATCAATAACCTCAGATATGCAGATGACACCACCCTTACAGCAGGAAGCAAAGAAGAAATAAAGAGCCTCTTGATGAAAGTGAAACAGGAGAGTGAAAATGTTGGCTTAAAGCTCAACATTCAGAAAACTAAGATCATGGCTTCCAGTCCCATCAATTCATGGCAAACAGATGGGGAAACAATGGAAACAGTAACAGACTTTATATTTTTGGGCTCCAAAATCACTGCAGATGGTGACTGCAGCCATGGAATTAAAAGATGCTTGCTCCTTGGAAGAAAAGCTATGACCAACCTAGACAACATATTAAAAAGCAGAGACATTACTGTGCCAATAAGGGTCTGTCTAGTCAAAGCTATGGTTTCTTCAGTTGTCATGTAAGGATATGAGAGTTGGACTTTAATGAAAACTGAGTGCCGAAGAATTGATGCTTTTGAACTGTGGTGTTGAAGAAGACTCTTGAGAGTCTCTTGGACTGCAAGGAGATCAAACCAGTCAACCCTAAAGGAAATCAGTCCTGAATATTCATTGGAAGGACAGATGCTGAAGCTCCAATACTCTGGCCACCTGATGTGAAGAACTGACTCATTGGAAAAGACCCTGATGCTGGCAAAGATTCAAGGCAGGAGGAGAAGGGGACGACAGAGGATGAGATGGTTGGATGGCATCACCAACTCAATGGACATGAGTTTGAGTAAGCTCTGGGAGGTGGTGATGGACAGGGAAGCCTGGCATACTGCAGTCCATGGAGTCTCAAAGAGTCGGACATGACTGAGCAACTGAACTGAAAATCCATATATATAAAATGTCCGCTTTCAACGACAAGGTAAGAACACTATCCATTCAGGTTTAAAAATTAAAAACTTACATCTGACAGCACTTTCACTAGAGGCTGTGCTAATTGGCTATCTGATTCCAGATCAAAAAAGGAAATGGCTCTGTCAGTATTTCCACAACGACCAGTACGCCCAATTCGATGAACATATTCATCAATGGTAGAAGGAAGATCAAAATTAATAACATGCTGAACATTTTCAATATCCAGCCCTCGTGCAGCTACTGAAGTAGCAACAAGAACCGGGCACTTTCCACAGCAGAAATCTCCAAGAGCTTGCTCTCTTTCTCTCTGTTCACGATCACTTGAAAGAAAACAAAGCATGTATTAGAACAGTCCTTAAGAAAATTATTAGAGAGAACCATTAAAGTTCAACGGATAGACTTTTTTTAATAACAGTAAAAACAATTAGCACCATTTAACATTAATTTCTATTTCTTACATACAAAGTATTATACTAATTTCTTTTAAGTCATCATTTAACTCTCACAATAACACGTGGAGGTTAGAATGATTAACCCCATTTGCAGATGAAGTAAGGTGACAGCTAATACCTAGAGCCAAAATACAGACTCAAATATGACAAACATCAAATCTTACCCACTAATGAACTCTTTCTAGTTTTGACAAAAAATAAAGAACTACTTGATCAAATGCTTTCTCAAAAATTACTGATTTTTTTAAAGTATAATCTCTGAATTCTACATATTCACTGATTAATATTTTAGATCTTCTAGTAAAGTGCCAATGAAATTGTGTTAATATGACATTTTTGAGGACTCCAATGAAAAAAATATCAAGCATTGAATAGACTGAGCTGAATAAACACCTAGATCTAAGGATCAGAGAGACTTTTAAGTGAAATCGCTTGACAATCATGATGAGGAACCTAAGATACTTCTAATTCACCCATCCCTGCCACTTGGTTCTTATAAAAACTTCAAAGATGAACAATAATAGTTAGATCTTGAAATCCTAATTCCAGGATTTTTTCCTAGTTAAATATACCAACATTTCTTAACAAATGACAAATAGAAGTTACCTCCTTACTAGGAAATCATAATAACCTACTCACCCATGAATACTTGTTGTTGATATATTTTCTTGACAAAGAAAACTGGCAATAAAATCTGCTTTTTTCTTAGTTTCAACAAAGACCATAGTTCTTTCATCACCTACAAGACAATGAAACATTCAAATTACAAAATCAGGAAAAGAAAAAAATGCATAGGGTGAGTAGGAAACTGTCTTATCCACCACTATATTCCCAGCACCTAAACTCAGGCCTGATAGGTAAGACCAATTCAAGTATTTCCTGAGTGGCTGAATGTCAAAGATAGGGAGACAAGGACTTTTTTCTACTTTATGACTTAAAAAAAAAAAAAAAGAAAGAAAAGCAGCTGCTTGCCCTTTGCCTTCATAGGCCAACCAATAAGTAGAGACTTAGGGAAGGATAAATGATATCTACCTGCCAACTCTTAGCAGGTCCAAATGTGGCTCAGGCCCTTCATTTCCCTCTCTATAAATAAATGCCTTTGTTCATCCCATGGTCATAGAATCTTTTATTCTACCTTGACTGCCAGAGGCATTCATAACAATTGCATTCAACCCAGGGCTGACAAACTCTACAATATTCTATGTTTCAACATTATCTCAATTCAAACCCCTTGACCCCCAATATGAGGCATCTTTGATTTCTTTCTCCAGAAACAAGAGGACTCTGCTAACAGATCAGATATGTACACTGCAGAAAGAAACCAAAGATGCCTCATATTTTTGTGTCTGAACAACTGGAGTGAGTCTAAGTCGCTCAGTTGTGTCTGATTGTTTCCTTGTGACCCCATGGAAAATAGCCCACCAGGCTCTTCTGTCCTTGGAATTCTGCAGGCAAGATACTGAATGGAACTTCCTAAGTAACACAGTAGGATTGCAAGAAAGGAAAGTTTTAAAGGTGATATTTAATCTCAGATATCAGACAACCAGGTAGGAAATCAAGAGAATAACTGATTCTTATAGTAATAAATGAGCTATATCCTTGAGACATAGTCATTTTATTAATGAGTAATCATTTTATGTTTTATCAAAAATTATCTTTCAATAGTTTTGGAGGTCATAAATCAAGATGCCCAATGCCAAAACTGATTCATTTGATACAGTCAGGTACATAATACTACTATGCAGCTGAAAGCCCTGATCTCATCTTTTCCTGGTCCCCCAGTGTGAATCCCAAAATGGTAATAAAAATTTAACTCCACTGACACTTTCTCTGTTTTTTCCTCTACTAAAAATTTCGGATTTTTTTCTAGTTCAGGTAATAAGCTCTATCCCTTCAGTGGCAGAGATAATGAAAATTTAGTTTTATGATCAGACCATTTTGTGATCTTTGTAGATGGGTTAATGAATTTCAACTACTTATTCTGTGAGGTGAAAAATAATACAGAATTCATTTTGTTAGTCCATTATGAACTAAAGTTAATTAAGAATCTAAAAAGAATACTATCTCTGGTAGCCAAATTGCAATTTTTTGTATTTCTGTGTACATTTTTGACCTATGGCTTAAGCGACAGAACTGAAGCTATCAGCTCTTTATGTATCTATAATTCCGAAAGAGGTTTATCTACCAGTGTACATAATCATTATGTTAATACTCTATGGACAAGTATTAACAAACATAAAGCCTCTTAAAGGAGCTCAATTCTGACTGGTTTACACAGATAAATTAGAGAATTTATAGAAATCCATAATTCTAAAAACTATGATTCTAAAAATTCCAGAAATCTAAAATTCCCAGAAAATAGAGAAATTGACTCACAATACTCTAACTATTGGGAAAGGAAATGGCAACCCACTCCAGTATTCTTTCCTGGAGAATCCCATGGACAGAGGAGCCTGGCAGGCCATGGTTCATAGGGTCGCAGAGAGTGGGACATGACTGAAGCAACTAAGCACCCAGTCTATATCAAATTAAAAACTCTTCCTATAGCAACTAAGAAGAAATATTTTAAGATTCCAAGTTCTCAGAAGTAAGTGAAACTTTTGATAAACAAGACTAACTTAATAACTTTGGTTTTAAAAATATGCATGTCCTTTCTCCAATTTATCAGTGTTAAGTAGAAAACAAACATATCTTACTTTACTTGGGTTTTTCTTAATGTATGAAGATTTGCTAATCAAATTAACATTCTCTATAATGTTTAACTGTATGAAAATGTAAACCTGTGTTCAACTAAACTGACTATTCAACATTATCTATTGTTTTGCACACTGTCATCTGAAGTAATTTCCAGGATCTTTGGCTTTATGGTTAAAACAGTAGACTATACTGAGTTATTTAAATTGATAATCACTGAATATTTAGGATAGAATTTGCTTGTTATTTTTCATATATTATAGAGAGGAAATATCTTTGAGTCATAATAAGGAAGATACTCAATTTTGCTACTTTAAGTGTAAAAGGATATGTGTGGTGTAGAAAGTAGTATAGAAAGTTCATGGGTTCTGGTAGTCAGCCTCAATGTCTCTGTATGGTATGTCTCAAATGTCCATCCCTGCCTCTAGTTTTCTCTATGAAACAGAAGTGAACTTTGGTTAGAAGTAATAATTAACATAAGTGGTAGAGACTATACTAGGAGTAATATTGACCAAGAAACATAAACTTTTTTTTAAATTTCTTTTCATTTATTTTTATTACTTGGAGGCTAATTACTTTACAATATTGTAGTGGTTTTTGTCATACATTGACATGAATCAGCCATTTGTGCATTTATTTTTCAAGGAAAGAAAAAGCAAAATTTCCCTAAAGTTGCAGCTCTCAAAATTTTGGTCTATGACTCTTAATCTCAAAAAATTATCAACAATCCCAAAGAGTTTTGGCTACGTGGGTTGTAAAACTAACATTTACGACCCTGAAAACTAAAACCAAAAAAATTTTTAAATATTTACTGGAACATTCTGCATGTTAAAATAATTTTAGTATAATTATGAAAATTGTTTTTACCTCACAGACTCCTTGAGAGCATCTCAGGGAACCTGGGAAGGATTCATTTTGTCCTGAAGTGTCAGTTTGCTCCAGAATATGAAAAATGCAGAACGAAAGATAAAACTTGGAAACTGAATTTTATACCAGTTTATAATATGTGAGTATCAAAAAAAAAGCTACGTGCTTGTCTTAAGTCACTTAAGGGGTGTCCGACTCTTTCCGACACCATGGACTGTAGCCTGCCGGGCAACTCTGTCCATGGGATTCTCCAGGCAAGAATACTGGAGTGGGCTGCCATGTCCTCCTCCAGGGGGCATCTAGGTGACCTAGGGATCAAAACGGTCTCCCGCGTATCCTACACTGCAGGCTGATTCACTGAGCCATCAGGAAAGCCCCCCCAAAAAAGAAAAAAAAAGGATGAAATATGTTAAAATGTTAACAAATTCAATCAATTTGCATGAAACTATTTCCTGATTTACTGTTTAATGCCTTTCCTTACAATATGAAAGGTTCTTCTTTCTTCTTTCTCTTCCTTATAATCAGGCTATATAGCAGAGATTCTTTCGACTTTACTATGTCTTTGGTTGTTTAAAGAGAAAAAGAACTTTATGAAAGAGCTATTGTTCTTTATAACCACGTTATCTTCTACTCTTATTTTTAAATGTTTGTCACGTCAATTAAATTACTGCCTAAGAACTAAGTAAACTTACACTACTAAAATGTTCAACTCTCTTCTGACAACTTTTGATTTTATCTTTTTTAAGATCAGCTATAAATTTAGACCTAACAGAAGCAAAAGATATTAAGAAGAGGTGGCACAAATACACAGAAGAACTGTCCAAAAAAGATCTTCACGACCCAGATAATCACAATAGTGTGATCACTCACATAGAGCCAGACATCCTGGAATGTGAAGTCAAGTGGGCCTTAGGAAGATTCACTACAGACAAAGCTAGTGGAGTTGGTGGAATTCCAGTTGAGCTATTTCAAATCCTGGAAGATGATTCTGTGAAAGTGCTGCACTCAACATGCCAGTAAATGTGGAAAACTCAGCAGTGGCCACAGGACTGGAAAAGGTCAGTTTTCATTCCAATCCCAAAGAAAGGCAACGCCAAAGAATGCTTTAACTACCACACAATTGCACTCATCTCACATGCTAGTAAAGTAATGCTCAAGATTCCCCAAGCCAGGCTTCAGCAGTACGTGAACCATGAACTTCCAGATGTTCAAGCTGGTTTCAGAAAAGGAACCAGAGATCGAATTACCAACATTCACTGGATCATCAAAAAAACAAGAGTTTCAGAAAAACATCTATTTCTGCTTTATTGACTATGCCAAAGCCTTTGACTGTGTGGCTCATAATAAACTGAGGAAAATTCTGAAAGAGATGGGAATACCAGACTACCTGACCTGCCTCTTGAGAAATCTGTATGCAGGTCAGGAAGCAACAGTTAGAACTGGACATGGAACAAGAGACTGGTTCCAAATAGGAAAAGGAGTATGTCATGACAGTATACTGGCACCCTGCTTATTTAACTGATATGCAGAGTAAATCATGAGAAACGCTGGGCTGGAGGTAGCACAAGCTGGAATCAAGATTACCAGGAGAAATATCAATAACCTTAGATATGCAGATGACACCACCCTTATGGCAGAAAATGAAGAAGAACTAAAGACCCTCTTGGTGAAAGTGAAAGAGGAGAGTACAAAATTGGCTTAAAGCTCAACATCCAGAAAATTAAGATCATGGCATCTGGTCCCATCACTACATGGCAAATAGATGGGGAAACAGTGGAAGCAGTGGCTGCTGACTTTATTTTTCTGGGCTCCAAAATCACTGCAGATGGTGACTGCAGCCATGAAATTAAAAGACATTTACTCCTTGGAAGGAAAGTTATGACCAAGCTAGATAGCTTATTAAAAAGCAGAGACATTACTTTGTCAACAAAGTCCGTCTAGTCAAGGCTAAGATTTTTCCAGTAGTCATGTATGGATGTGAGAGATGGACTGTGAAGAAAGCTGAGCACCGAAGAATTGATGCTTTTGAACTGTGGTGTTGGAGAAGACTCTTGAGACTCCCTTGGACTGCAAGGAGATCCAACCAGTCTATCCTAAAGGGGATCAGTCCTGGGTGTTCATTGGTAGGACTGATGTTGAAGGAGAAACTATTACGTTGGCCACC